TTCCAGAGACAACTGAGTTCACATCTAGGCAGTTCTGTAAACGAGACTGACCCAGATGCTGCTTGGAAAGGCATACGAACAGCTGTGGAGACAGCAGTAACATCTATTAGTCATTTAAACCATAGGGCTCCAAAAAACCAGTGGATTCCTTCTAGGTCTATTTCACTGATGGATTCGCGTAAACTCATACCGTCAGGCTCTGAACATGACGAAGAGCGTAAAGAAATTAGATCTAGGTTAACTAAAAGTCTAAGGAACGATCGTGAGCAGTGGTGGGCAACGAAAGCAAAAGAGATGGAAAAGGCAGCGGCTGTAGGCAACACCAGGCAACTATTCAGACTAATAAAAGAAACTGGAATTAAGAAGTCAAGTGTAAGTGAGACGATCTCGGAAAAAGATGGAACCCTTATCTGCTCTCTACCCAAACGTTTAGAACGATGGGCGGAACACTTTAAGGAGCAGTTTAGCTGGCCTTCAGCTACTGCACAACTACCCACTATTCCTAGAAAACCTGAATGGAACATTGAAGTAGGCCCCCCGACCCTACTTGAAGTTCAAAAGGCTATAGGTAATCTGAAACGAGGAAGAGCAGCTGGTCCTGATGGATTGGCTCCAGAGGTCTTTAAATATGGTGGTCCAATTTTAGCGATTAGGTTGACTAATATTCTGGCTAAAATCTGGGAGACGGATGTAATCCCATCCGACTGGTCACAATCACTGATTGTCCCAATATATAAAAAGGGGTCAAAATCATCCTGCGATAACCATAGAGGGATTAGTCTGACTAACATAGTATCTAAAATACTAGCCTCAATAATTATCAGGCGCCTAACTAAAACTCGTGAACTGCAAACACGAGAAAATCAGGCTGGCTTCAGACCTGGTCGTGGCTGTATCGACCACATATTCACCATTCGTCAAGTTTTAGAGCACAGACATGCTTATCGGCGTCCGACAATGATAGTTTTTCTTGACTTGAAAGCAGCATTTGACTCTGTAGACCGAGAGGTTCTGTGGCAGTGTCTGTCATTGAAAGGTGTACCTGAGAAGTACATAAACCTTGTGAAGGCTCTTTACTCGAACACTATCAGCCGAGTGAGAGCTTATGGTGAACTGTCATATGATTTTACAACCTCAAGTGGTGTCCGTCAAGGCTGTCCACTATCCCCATTTTTGTTTAACTTCATTATAGACCTGTTGCTGCAAATGACACTCTCGTCGACTGAGTTTACAGGAATTGATCTCCTACCAGGGGGACCACTAAGCGACTTAGAATACGCAGATGACATAGTCCTGTTTGGTGAAGACGCTGACAAAATGCAGAGTCTTCTGTTGGAACTGAGTAATAATGCCAGGATGTTTGGGATGCGTTTCTCCCCATCCAAATGTAAATTGTTACTCCAGGACTGGCCTGCGTCAACACTCGAACTAAGGATAGGGAGTGAAGTAGTCGAACGCGTTGACAACTTCACTTATCTTGGAAGTCTGATCAGCCCTAATGGGTTGGTGTCTGACGAAATCTCAGCACGGATTCAAAAAGCTCGTTTGGCTTTTGCCAACTTACGTCACCTATGGCGAAGACGAGATATCCGTCTATCAATTAAGGGACGAGTATACTGCGCAGCAGTTCGCTCTGTTCTACTTTACGGCTGCGAAACATGGCCATTAAGAGTAGAAGATACTCGTAGGTTACTAGTATTTGACCACAGATGCCTTAGAAATATTGCTCGCATCTGCTGGGATCACCGGGTAAGTAATAGTGAGGTTAGACGCAGGGTATTAGGTAACGATGGTAAATCAGTTGATGAGGTGATAAATCTTCATCGACTGAGATGGTTGGGCCATGTGTTACGTATGCCTGAACACCGATTACCACGACGCGCTATGATGACTAGTATTGGGGACGGTTGGAAGAGAGTTAGGGGCGGCCAAACCAAAACATGGCATCAGTGTTTGAAGTCACTAACTTCTAGCCTGAGCCATGTTGGCAGATGCAGACTACCTGGTTGGGGTCCGCGTGACTATCGTAATAAATGGTTGGAGACTCTAGGTGACATGGCTCAGAATCGATCACAATGGCGTAGGTGTATACACTCTTTATCTTCCCTTAAACCTTGAGATTAAAATTGCTTCATATCTCTCTTCCTTCCTGTACTATATCCTTCTATACAATCTTTCTTTATATACTACCATCACTAAATTAATTGCTTCTATGAATCCGGTGTTGATCTTGTTGTGCTAAAGAGGTATGGCAACTTGGACCGATGCATATATGTGCCTGGTCCTACGTTGTAGCTGACTGACTGACTGACTCATTCTTTCACAATAAATCTTAACAAAATATGTCTTTGGTATAGCTCGGGCTGGAAGATAGTCGAGTTATTACATAGTGTATCTCTGTAACAGTGAAATTCATCTCTTCGCTAAGCGAAGTTTTTGTACTTCATAATTAGATTATTTAAACACAGACAACACAATAAAAAAATATGTGTCTATCACAGTTCATTGGGCTAAATAGCTTCATAAAGTTTTTTACGTAGACTGTTTACTCGGTCTTTTAAATATACAATTTAAGCAAACTAAAACGTGATGCTTATTACTTAAGACAATTGACTCGGTTTTCCATAATTTATGATAATCAGTGCCAATAGCAAAATATTTCATGGTTGGAGTCGATGGACACAAAGTTCTGAAAATAAGACTCAAACGTGTTGCGACTCATAAGCAAACTGTCAGAAACCGTGAGGTTGGATAGCCTCCCTCAGAGATTAGTCACATTATGTCGGTTATTATCCAGTAGGTCGTTAATTTAATCGTGGAGTACTGTACGATGTATCATATATATCTATTTCTAAGAAGTCGTCTTGAACAAAGGAATAACAAGAAAATAGCAATTAGCAACAGTCGAACACGAGCAGAGAATGTCAAGGCACAAGCAAAGTACTCAGAAACAAACAAGCAAGTGAAGAAGAGTATTAAAGCCGACAAACAGAAATACATGGGAGAACTAGCGACGACGGCAGAAAAAACTGCAAGAGAAGGGAATTTGAAACAACCATATGATACAACGAAGAAACTAGCAGGGAGATGTAGTAAGCCGAAGAGATCAGTCAGGGACAATCACGGAGGTTCAAGAACAGAGAATAAGATGGGTAGAATACTTTGAGGAACTGCTGAATAGACCAGCTCCATTGAATCCACCGGACATCGAAGCAACACACACAAACCTTCTTATATCTGTCACTCCACCAACGACCGAGGAAATCAAGATGGCCATCGGACAAATCAAGAATGGGAAGGCAGCAGGACCTTACTATATACTAGCTGAAGCACTGAAGTCAAACATTGAAGTAACTGCAAACATGCTTCGCCTTCTATTCAAGAAGATTTGGGAGTAAGAACAAATGCCAACGGACTGGAAAGAAGAACACCTCATCAAGAAACCAAAGAAAGGAGATCTGAGAATTGCACAGGCATCACTTTGTTGTCAGTACCAGGAAAATTTTTCAATAGAGTGTTGCTGAACCGGATGAAAGACGCAGTAGACATTCAACTTCAAGATCAACAGGTTGGATTCCGTAAGTATCGGTCGTGCACAAACCAAATCGCGACACTACGGATCATTGTTGAACAATCCATTGGACAGAACTCACCACTATATATCAACTTTCTTGACTATGAGAAAGCATTTGACAGCGTGGATAGGAGAACCTTATAGAAACTTCTTCGACACTACAGAGTTCCTGGGGAGATTGTCAAAACTATCCAGAACTCATACGACGAACTACAGTGCAAAGTGGTGCATGGAGGACAGCTGACAGATGCATTTCCAGTAAGGACCGGAGTCAGACAAAGCTGTCTATTCTCCCTTTTTCTCTTTCTTCTGGTGATTGACTGCATTATGAAGACCTTGACATCTGAGAGGAAGCACGGAATACAATGGACGTCTCAGAATCAATTGGACGACTTGGACTTCGCAGATGACCTAGCCCTCCTATCCCATACACACGAACAAATACAGATGAAGACAACTAATGCAGCAGCAGCCTCTGCATCAATAGGCCTCAACATACACAAAGGAAAAAGCAAGGTCCTCAAATACAACACTGAGAACAACAACCCAATCACACTTGATGGAGAAACTCTGGAAGATGTGGAAACATTCACGTACCTGGGAAGCATCATTGATGAACGAGGAGGATCTGATGCAGACGTAAAGGCGAGGATTGGCAAAACAAGGACCGCATCCCTACAATTGAAGAACATATGGGACTCCAAACAACTGTCAGCTCATTTCAAAGTGAGAATCTTCAATACGAACGTCAAGACAGTTAGTTCTACTGTACGGAGCTGAAACGTGGAGAACTACTACAACCATTGTCAAGAAGGTACAAGTATTTATAAACAGTTGTCTACGCAAAATACTCAACATTCATTGGCCGGATACCATCAGCAACAGCATTTTATGGGAGAAGACAAACCAGCTTCCAGCTGAAGAGGAAATTAGGAAAATACGTTGGAAATGGATCAGTCATACGTTAAGGAAATCGCCGAACTGCAGCACGAGGCAAGCCGGAAGGGAAACGGAAAAGAGGAAGGCCAAAGAACACATTACGCCGGGAAATAGAAGCAGATATGAAAAGGATGAATAATAACTGGAAAGAACTGGAAAGGAATGTTTGTAACAGGGTTGGATGGAGAATGTTGGTGGGTGACCTATGCTCCTCCACGAGGGGTAACAGGCATCGGTAAGTAATTAATCAGCCGTCTTACACTTTATAAACCAAGCTGTTCAGATAGTTTCACAAACAAATAGATTCGGTCTCTCTAAACAAATATTTTTTAACCACCAATGAGTTAATGTTACTCAATTGTCGAATCTGCGTGAGACTGAAAATTAAAATAAATTGTTGTATGGATTTTACACTAGTTTCCTAAATTCGCAGTTCTCAGTTTTTCTCTCCAACTAAGTAATCCGCATTTTCTTCATTGTTGTTTAGGTCTTAAGTCCAGTTAATTATGTCAGATGTCAACAAATCAATCGACACCTGATCAATAGACTAGGTTTAGAAACTAGCCTTCAGGTAAGTGTCAATTTTTATTCTATAGTTTTTTAGGGTCATCATGGTTGTGTTAACTGCTTAGAATGGAATGAGTGTGGTTCTTATCTTGCTAGTGGTTCAGATGATCGGAGTCTAATTATCTGGGATCCATTTGAGCGTAAATCTCTTTTAACAATGAACACTGGTCATGTGGCGAATATATTTTCTGTTAAATTCTTATCTAGTCTGAATGTGAGTACTATCGTTTTTATTGCTACTGAAAACTCATCATCTTGTTTTTTAGGAGAATCTCATCGTAACGGGTGCAGCTGATAGCAAAATTCGTGTACATGACATTAAAGCACTAGAGACTCGGCATGTGTTTTCTTGTCATTCAGGTCGCGTTAAACGATTGGCAAATACTCCATCTGAACCATTCTTATTTTGGTCAGCCTCAGAAGATGGAACCTGTAGACAGTTTGACCTACGAGATCCTGATCAGGTATGCTTTTATTTCTTAATATTGATATTAAAAAGATATAAAATTAAAAAAATATTGAATACAGGTTCACTTAGCCGATGCTTAATTGATGAAATCTGTATATTTGAATGTCACAAGAAAAATGAAAAACAACCATATTTCCAATCAAAAATTTTCCTTTGCACTTGAGAGATACATGGATAAGTAAATAGATTTACTTATCAAACAGAGATATCACAGTTTTTAATCATCAGTCAAGGATTTTGTACGGAAGGTCTGTTCGTTTAGATATAATACTGATATAAAAATTCCTAAACTTGTGATAGTTAAGTTGACAATATCTAGCGTAAGTGCATGATTTTCGATTATAAAAGCAAATTAGTCAATGACCTTACATATCTGCACATCAAAGTAAGTGAAACTGTATTTTATCACATAATACAAGATACATTTACAAATGATATAGGAGCTGTGCAGAGAATGCCAGTATGTTAAGCAACTGATCTCTGACATACGTCACACAAAATCATGTTTTTATTGATTCTAAACTGTCTTGCCCATTATTTTCGTTTACTTTGGTTCTGTTCTGGGTTTTCACGATATTTTGATACCATCACGTTTATTACTTCAGTTTTACTTTTCTGTTTTTGTAATGATGTGATAGTCGTGTATACAAGTAACCAATTGCATATCAATTCTTAACCATGTATTGTCCAATCTAAACAAGTTATGAACATTTGGTTACTTGAAATATCACTTTTAATTTTTAATGAAGTAACATTGATGAAAACACATTATACCCCTGTTTCATAGAACATTTACGTACAATTTCATGAGCATATGAAATAGCGTTCCTCTTATCAGTTACTTTCGATAAAGCTTCACTGTAGCCCTGAGCCTAGCACATAAAACTGTACTTATACCTGTTTTTGTTTTGGTATTTAATGAAGTACAGTTTTATAGAAAGGAAGTGAAACTACACCTACTGTGTAAAAGACAAACAATACTACGTAAATGTTCATACGGGTTAAAATAAATTAATGTTCTAACTCAACTAAATGGTTGAAATTCATTTTTAAACTGTTCAGTTGATACTCATGCTATTACTAATTTGAATAAGAAATAAGCTGATTTATCTAACCTATCTGTGAGATGTCATAATTAAAATAATCTTTCATGTTTTTATCTTTTACAAGACTTCTGTAAATAAACCATGTAACGTATTAGTCAATTTACGATTTCAAGATAACGTTTTTGCCGAAGCCAAGTGTATCGCAGTAAATCCATTAAAGTCTGAGTTGGTTGCTGTCGGTGGGAATGAACCGTTTGTACGAATGTTTGATCGACGTAAATTAACACTTTCTACATATGATAGTGCTACACCACAGGAGGGCATGTAAGCTTTTAGTGTAAATTACCGAATATATTATTATCATATTAATTAATAAGGTACCTATTGTGTCTTTCCGTGATTAAGTTTAAATTTTTCTCTCAACTGTAACTTTTCCGTATATCCGATAGAATTCGTTGCTATTAGCATATATTTTAATGGGTTATTTTAAAAGATTTCGAACCATATGGGTAGTTTTAAATTTACCGTCCTCATCCCCACCACTTCATCTTCAAGATCTCTCCACAATCCAACAATTACAAAGATTTCTGAATATAATTATTATCATAATTACTATGAATAATAAACTTATTGATTACCCTTCTACATTAACCTTATTCTTATTTGTTAATGACTAAGTTCGGTAATATATCAACGTACAACGTTTCCGTGTTGCATTCAAGTCATATCACATACTTAGAGTTTATGTAAGGTGATTTCATTTTATTCTCATCTTTAAATGGCGTGCTTTGTAATAAAAAGGTTACAATTTTTAATAGATTCCGTTCATTCGTAGCTGTGACATAACTCTCTAAATGCGTAATGAATAGCAGCTCTTTGAGTTCTTCAGTTTACATGTTTGCATGTATTCGAATAAAGAACTATTTATTATCTGGATCCCAAACTGTGCCTAAATATTTAAGTGACAATATTAATTGGTCAGTCATATGCAACGTACAATCCGGCGAAAAATGCCCTTCGACCCAAGTTGTCTGACTTCATATCATATCTAATTTAAAAATAATGGAGTCGAAATGAAAAAAAAACTGGTCTTGGAAATTAGATATTTAATATAGTTGGAGACAAAAGAGTTAAATCAAAAAATGGAAAGTATGGATAAACAGAACAGTATCCGTAGAAAGATGATAAATGAATAAATCTGCGACCCTGCAACTGATGTTAAAAGATGTAAGCCATGGTAAATATCTCAGCATTCATCAATTCACTCAGTTTAAACGTACTGAAAAACTAATAATAAATATATTTTTGTGATATTCCAATGAGTAGAAAAATTGTATTTCTGATGTTTCGTGACTCCATGTAAACCACTTCTTCAGGGTAAAACCGTATCGTTCCCCGTCGTTAAATTCTGATAACTGCTGTGCCTATTTGAACTGAATAGTAGAAATTTTACCCTAGAAAAACATTGCACCACTCTGTTTTTATGGATTACTACATACTTTATATGTAGTTTTTCTGAAGTTTCATGGTTCCGTTTATCTTTCAACAGTCATTCCATATGTCGACTATGAAATCTTAGTAATGTAGCCCGTCAAAATACGAACTCTCTGTGTCTGTTTAGATGAACTATTGAAACCATTCGACCAATTAATTAGTAGTAAAGTAGGGGTGTTCACCCAACAGACGTTTTCATTGCTCGACAACTCATAATCTGTAGTGTCAACGTGTTTGAAAACCGGGAAGATACCAATCATTAGCATTCAGAAAAGAATCAACAGAGGTCAGTAGTCGCCAATTATTGGATTCTGGTTCGTTGATTTTATATACCATGGGGTTTACAAATTTCCGTTTGATTACTAGGTGATGTCCACTATTAACAACTATCAGTGTACCGATTATTCATCGGTTTTAACATTACTTACATACTTACCGATGCCTGTTACCCCTCGTGGAGGAGCATAGGTCACCCACCAACATTCTCCATCCAACCCTGTCACAAACATTCCTTTCCAGTTCTTTCCAGTTATTATTCATCCTTTTCATATCTGCTTCTATTTCCCGGCGTAATGTGTTCTTTGGCCTTCCTCTTTTCCGTTTCCCTTCCGGCTTGCCTCGTGCTGCAGTTCGGCGATTTCCTTAACGTATGACTGATCCATTTCCAACGTATTTTCCTAATTTCCTCTTCAGCTGGAAGCTGGTTTGTCTTCTCCCATAAAATGCTGTTGCTGATGGTATCCGGCCAATGAATGTTGAGTATTTTGCGTAGACAACTGTTTATAAATACTTGTACCTTCTTGACAATGGTTGTAGTAGTTCTCCACGTTTCAGCTCCGTACAGTAGAACTAACTGTCTTGACGTTCGTATTGAAGATTCTCACTTTGAAATGAGCTGACAGTTGTTTGGAGTCCCATATGTTCTTCAATTGTAGGGATGCGGTCCTTGTTTTGCCAATCCTCGCCTTTACGTCTGCATCAGATCCTCCTCGTTCATCAATGATGCTTCCCAGGTACGTGAATGTTTCCACATCTTCCAGAGTTTCTCCATCAAGTGTGATTGGGTTGTTGTTCTCAGTGTTGTATTTGAGGACCTTGCTTTTTCCTTTGTGTATGTTGAGGCCTATTGATGCAGAGGCTGCTGCTGCATTAGTTGTCTTCATCTGTATTTGTTCGTGTGTATGGGATAGGAGGGCTAGGTCATCTGCGAAGTCCAAGTCGTCCAATTGATTCTGAGACGTCCATTGTATTCCGTGCTTCCTCTCAGATGTCAAGGTCTTCATAATGCAGTCAATCACCAGAAGAAAGAGAAAAAGGGAGAATAGACAGCTTTGTCTGACTCCGGTCCTTACTGGAAATGCATCTGTCAGCTGTCCTCCATGCACCACTTTGCACTGTAGTTCGTCGTATGAGTTCTGGATAGTTTTGACAATCTCCCCAGGAACTCTGTAGTGTCGAAGAAGTTTCTATAAGGTTCTCCTATCCACGCTGTCAAATGCTTTCTCATAGTCAAGAAAGTTGATATATAGTGGTGAGTTCTGTCCAATGGATTGTTCAACAATGATCCGTAGTGTCGCGATTTGGTTTGTGCACGACCGATACTTACGGAATCCAACCTGTTGATCTTGAAGTTGAATGTCTACTGCGTCTTTCATCCGGTTCAGCAACACTCTATTGAAAAATTTTCCTGGTACTGACAACAAAGTGATGCCTGTGCAATTCTCAGATCTCCTTTCTTTGGTTTCTTGATGAGGTGTTCTTCTTTCCAGTCCGTTGGCATTTGTTCTTACTCCCAAATCTTCTTGAATAGAAGGCGAAGCATGTTTGCAGTTACTTCAATGTTTGACTTCAGTGCTTCAGCTAGTATATAGTAAGGTCCTGCTGCCTTCCCATTCTTGATTTGTCCGATGGCCATCTTGATTTCCTCGGTCGTTGGTGGAGTGACAGATATAAGAAGGTTTGTGTGTGTTGCTTCGATGTCCGGTGGATTCAATGGAGCTGGTCTATTCAGCAGTTCCTCAAAGTATTCTACCCATCTTATTCTCTGTTCTTGAACCTCCGTGATTGTCCCTGACTGATCTCTTCGGCTTACTACATCTCCCTGCTAGTTTCTTCGTTGTATCATATGGTTGTTTCAAATTCCCTTCTCTTGCAGTTTTTTCTGCCGTCGTCGCTAGTTCTCCCATGTATTTCTGTTTGTCGGCTTTAATACTCTTCTTCACTTGCTTGTTTGTTTCTGAGTACTTTGCTTGTGCCTTGACATTCTCTGCCCGTGTTCGACTGTTGCTAATTGCTATGTTCTTGTTATTTCTTTCATCCATCTTGTCCATGTTTCCTTAAAGGTTCATTCCTTATTACGGTGCTTCTTTCGACGCAGAACCTACTGGCACCTTGAATTCAATGTTTCTTTTATCTCTTTCAAGTTGTCATTCATCGCAGTTTCTTCTTTCTGTAGATCCTGTAAAACGTATAACCTGTTGTTGAGAGTTATTTTGAATCGGTTGGGTTTGTCATTATCACGAACGAAGGCTGTATTGAACCTTTTAATGCTGTTCTCCCGGTTGTCCAGTGTTTGTTTAGCTTCAACTTCATCTTGGCCACAATGAGGTGGTGAACTGAAGCTATGTTAGCTCCTCTCTTTGTCCTCACATCTTCTATTGTCCTTCGGAATTTTTCGATTATACAAATGTGATCTATCTGATTCTCTGTGGTGTTGTCCGACGAGATCCATGTAGGTATGTATGTATGCGTTTGTGGGGGAATATTGTGCCACCTATAACCAATTTGTTGAGCGCACATATATTTGCAAATTTTTCCCCATTTTCATTTCTCTCTCCCATTCCATTTCGTCCCATTATATCGTCATTTTCTGTGTTGTCCGTTCCGACTTTAGCGTTTAGATCTCCCATCAGTTTTGTGAGAACTTTTCTTGTGCACTTAACTATGATTGATTTTGCAGCCTCCTATCAAACTTATCTTTATGGTCGTCGATGCTATCATTGGTGGGTGTATAATATTAGATAACCTTCATTGTAGTCCCCTCCTGTTTTGTTTTGAATGATGCTTTGATTATCCTGGATCTGTGAGATTCCCACCCTACAAGTTCACTTCGTGCTTCTCTGGGCAGCATTAGAGCAACTCCCTGAGTGTGTGGAGCATTTTCCTCTTCGTGACCAGAGTACAGCAGCATCGCTTCCGTATATAGTCTTTACTATCCAGCTTGTGTCCAATGAGTTTCTCTGATTCCGATTACTGCCAATTTGTATCTCCTCATTTCCATTGCTATTTGACTGATCTTCCCGGTCCCCCACATTGTCCGGACGCTCCATGTACTCATAAAATTTGTTGCTCTGGTTGTTAAAAGGAGCATCGGCCTCGTGACTTCCGAAGAATCTCGGCTTTTCTAGTTACTATTCATCCTTTTCATGTCTACTTCCAATTCCGACGCAATGTGTTCCATGGCCTTCCCCTTTTCCGTTTCAATTCAGGATTCCAAGCTAGTGCTTGCCTCGTGATGTAGTTAGATGATTATCGCAATATATGTCCTATCCAATTCCAGCGTCTTTTCCTAATTTCCTCCTCAGCTGGAAGCTGGTTTGTTCTCTCCAAAATAGGCCGTTGCTGATGATATCCGATCAACCGAAATTCCGTATTTTACGTAGACAATCGTTTATCAATACTTGTACTTTTCAGATGATGGTTGTAGCAGTTCTCCAAGTTCCAGCTACATACAATATAACTCACTATCCTGACGTTCGTATTGAAGATTCTCACTTTGATATTGGTTGACAGTTGTTTTGAGTTACATATGTTGTTCAACTGTAGAGATGCTGCCATTGCTTCGCCAATCCTTGACTTTAGGTCTGCATCAGATCCTCCTTGCTCATTGATGATATTGTCCAGTTACGTGAAAGGTTCGACCTCTTTCCGAGCTTCTCCATCAAGCGTGATTGCGTTGCTGTTCTCAGCAGTGCACATCCACAAGCACGTATTCAGGAATGGAACCAAGGGCCTTCAATCTCGCATGCGAACGATTAATCTTTGAACCACTAAGCCGTCATCCAACGGTGTTAATATCTAACTTCGATCAGTTTACGATGTTCCACAACTTTCATCTATTGCCTGTGGTAGGTGATTTTTCCATACTCAACATAGTCTGATTCCACTGGTCATGTATCCTTATCAGAACTTGAGGAGTTGTATCCCGAAGCTATTCACTAGTGAGTACAGGGTCATTATTAGTATGGGGAGGTTTGTGGGGATCGCTGAATTTTCGTATTTTTAAATCACGAACTGATCTTAGTTAAAGGTCTTAGATAATACAGTAGTATAGGTAATTTGTTGTGGTAATTTTTATATTTACAAGCAATTTATATCATTAATAAAATCTGATTGAATACAGCTGTGTAGGTAAGTTTTAACCTCAAAAAATTTAACCATAAGTTTTTTATTCCTAGTTGTTATCCAAATTTGTTAAGGTTAGTAGTTCACCTGTCTTTATATACATACGCTTACATACATGCAGAATGATCTACTAGATCACATGATTACAACCTAATATAAGGTTATTATTAACACCATACTTTCCATACTTCAGATCTTGTCTGTACATAATACATTGTAACAAATTTATAACTTTAATTACATTTCAGTGAATCCTGTACATTCTAGATGACTTTAGTAGTCATTCAAATCTAATGTTAACTTAAATCAATAATTTATTTATAAAATGAATTATCTTTTCAGTTAGGCACCGAGTTTTATTCGAATGTCTGCCTACTTTGTAAAAGTAAATATCTCAATGCATCATCCATGATGGAGTTACAATACCTGGTGACATGCCTGATGATGAGATCTAATTTAGGCGTTTTAATGCCATTTAGAGCCACCTATAAAATGAATATCACTGTAGTTATTATCACATTTCTCCTTATTTAGATTCCTTTGGTTATTGTCCAGTAAATTTACAGTATTCTCTATAAATTCTTGTGTCTGCAAACTATTTCAATATATTCTCTAGACGAGCTGCATCAAGGAGAACTCCTATAAACATTCCATCCAGCTCTCTGCCTTCATTTCCCTATGGTGCAGCTAAATATTTTGTTCCATGTAAGTATTGAAACTAAAAATTCTTCCTTATTTATGTAAATATTTATTGTAGATAAAGAACTAGGATTTTACTTTGATTTCTTCTCCACGTCATGAAAAAATAGTATTATACGAGGACGGAATAGCTATCCGTTGCTCCATGGTTTAAAATGGTGTTTCAGCTGATATAAGTCTTAGATAAAAACGTTATACTGAAAAATCTCAACCGACCCCGTTATTGAATGATCATCATGGGATCACTAAGGATTAGCTCCAAAAAGAATTCCCGGTGTATTTGAGCAAAGCGGTAACTCGTGTTTTTCAACCATGTCGACAGTAAGATAGAAATCACTGATATTCGCGCCACATTGGTGATTGACTGAAGATAAAAATGTGAGCAATTGTCTCCTGACTCAACAGCTCTATAGTATGCTGCCGGGGAGTTAAAAAGGTCTTGAGGGCTATCCCTAGCTGATCCGTAGCATTACAGTACTGAATAGTGTCAAACAACTAGAAAACAGTTGTACAATGACCAGTCTGTTTTCTTTTAATACGATGAGCTAATATTAGAATACCATCGTATTTTAATTTCTTAGATTAACATTTTTGATCTGCTTCCTTGTGATGATACCCCTGTATAAGCCATGCAAGTAATTAAACCATTTGACTTTCAGTCACTGTTTGTAGTTTCAAATCCCACTTCATCTTCGGTTTAAGCAGCTTTGTTTTATCTATGGATTCCACACAAAATATGTAGCTCAAAGTCGTGTGCATACAAAATTGGTATTTGGTAAGTAAATTACGTGGACTCACATTAATATAAATTGTGATTTCAAATCTTTTTCTGACATAGTGAGTGTTACATACCCTCATACGGAGCGCTTATAGAGTTAGCATAAATTTATTCCACGTTGTTGACCGTTACCACATACGTTGTTTGTTTTGGTGTAAGGTACCTCTTTTAATTTTGTCAAGAGATTAATATTTCAATTTTTATTTAAAATGGATAATAAACTAGCGCTTACCAATCCTTTCAACTAATCTCTTTCTGCATCATTTTCTGTCATTTCAGCTCATCTACCTGGTAAAATATTAACTGATGGTTTAGACAATCAAACTTTCAGTGTAACATCAGTCAGTTTTAGTTCAGATGGTGAAGAGCTATTAGCTAATGTTGGACGTGATAATATTTATCTGTTTCATTTAGCTTCACAAAATGAACCATTTCAATGTCAATCGTCGTTTAAATCAACTAGATTATTGTATAGTTTATCGGCATCGCAACCAAGGAATCGATTTCGTTCTTTTCGTATTCCTACCTGGTTTCGTCCTTCAAATATGGGATATTATGATTCTTATGCGGGTAATATAAATATTACTGTTTACACTTGTTTTAAACTCTTAAGTCGTCATCTGTGATGGGTTTCGTTCGTTTTCCGTTGTCGATATTCAGTATTGATCAGTTTCATTTTGGCAATGTACTCCTTAATCAGTTATGTTTTGAATAGAAGCTAGTATTATATGATGCAACTTTCTTTCTACTCAGGGCTTTCCAACTGAATACAATCCATCATATATTTGAAAACTTTAATTTTATCCATTTAGCGTTAAATGGCAAGTGTGTTTCAAATAAATTATAATTCAATAAACTTTATTACTATCTTTTTATAGGTTCAACCTATGATTACCGTTGTAATTCTTCTATGGCTTCTGATTACGCAACCGTACTGGCTTCACGATTAATTGAAGCCAAGGCGTATGCTGTTGCAGTTCATAAATATAATCAACTTATTCAACAGCATCCTTTCTGTCCTCAACTGTATACAGGTCGCGCTACTGCTTTAATTAAAAGAAATTGGTCAGTCATTTTGTGACATTTTTGGTTTTCCTACTGCTGTGTTGGGTTCATAAAATCCACTCACGGTCTATGTTGTTTATTCAATAGCTTGTGGTTTATCCAGACTCTTCATTATATTCTAGTCTAGTATCATTCAGTAAGCTTAATATTATGGAAGTAACACAAGATTCACATCAAGAATTATGACTAACATAATATGTGGTAATAATACAGGAATTCATAGATGAATACCGATCTGTTAACTATTAATGGTTTGACTTCCTGTCGGAAACACAAAAATTTACCGCGGGATTTTATCTAAAAGTAATTAAGAAGCATATGAAGTAAATTACACGCTAGCTTCCATCCTGCAATTCTGGTTATCGAATATATCTGCTCTTCACTCACGGGATATGAAGTTCTGTGTTGTATATATCTTGAAATTATACGATGATAAAGCATTCTTTGTCGGCCTCATTCTAGTGTAATCATATGTGATACTTTTTTAGTCATCATGATAATTATATTTTTCCGTCTACTGTCTTTTTGACATCCTTTTGATTTGTATAAATCATGGTGGGTTTCATTTGACTTGGATTTTGTCGTGAATGTTTCCATAGGTGAATAGTTCATAGACAAGTAGTATTGAAGATTTTGACATGAAATAAGCGTCATATATGAACGTTTTTGCTGTATGTGATCAGTTTTAAAAACACTATGTTGTAATCAGCAATAGGTCTGAATACGTAGATAACCGTTTCACTCTTTTGGTATAAGAATCACTAGTAGTATGGGACGATCACGCTTCATAATATTTACTGTTGGCTTCCGCCGACTTGATATTTGGTTAATTTTTCAGGTAATCAGTTTAGCTTATTCTCACCTATTCAACTCAGGTTTTGTAAAGAATCTGTCTGAGAAACCTTGAAATTTCCTGTATACATGGTTGTTTTCTACCATCTAGATTGACTAAAATAAACATAGAATAATATTTGTTAGTATATCAAAGTGCACTTTTGTAGTTAAAACCCAAAACTGGATTTATTGATGATTAGCCTAAAGCTTTATTTTTCATACGGGAAAAAGACCAAACTGTTAGATTTCGATAACATTTTTGAATAAACTTTGAACATATTTTTATATTTTAATTAAAGGAATGGTGATATTTATAATGCGCTATTGGATTGCCGAAATGCTATCCAACTGACTACTCAAAGCAACAATGATTCTTTCAGCATTCAAAACAACGATACCATTAATGAGCACCAATTGTTAAACAGTTCCGTTTACCTTACAGCTCTATTACTTTCAGTTCGATGTTTATTATATTTGGATTGGTTAAATGCTGCTCGTATTCAACTCAAACAAGCATTGGACAGCTTTCCCAATCTCTTCAAAAATACTACGCATCAAAAGATTTCCGATAAAGCGCTAATTACACCTACTATCATTGCCTCTTCTTCTTCCTCTTCATCTGCTAGCACACCAACAATCAACACCACTGATACAAATTCGTCCAAGTATACTTGCCATTCAGATAACCTGGTTAAAGTTTTCGAACATTTAAAGTCGACATTGTTGGCGAGAGAAAAACAATTAGAATCACAATCTATCAAGTTGAAAGGAAAAGAAAGGCAAGTTAGTGAAAGAAAAACATCAATTCATGATAATAATGATAACAACGATCACAATGGTCATAATGATGATGGTGACAATGATACCAAAAAATCTACAGTATCAAACCCAGAAACTTTATCTTTCTTAAAAAGCGATAACAGTATGTTCCTTTTCTTGTTTTAATAAACTGACTCACTGAGTCGATTTTCATTTTTCGGAAGTATGCATAACAAATGAAAAAATAAGTGAGATTATTAAATGTACCTACATTTTAATTCACCCAGTGAAAATTCGAGTTTACTCATTTATATCCTTAAAAAACACTGACTCGAACAAAAGAAATATGAATTCACTGAAGTATATTAGGCATCTATTTAGTGAATTTTCACACTTACGTTTGTGTCCTTTCTTATAATCGACTATTTTAATGAGTTTTCCAGAAATAGAATTTTCTTCAGAGAGAATAAACATGTATTCTCGTCATTCACCTTGATCGTACTCACTGAAACTAGTCGGTATTATAAGCATTTTTTTCTGAACCCATGTAAGAACTCTGGGACGTTTTCGTAAAACTCCTTAAAGCTATCATTGGATTATTGCGTAATGGGACAAATAGTCGGTAGGGATTTGTGGATAATCTAAAAAACGTAGTGTTATGACGCTTGCCAGCCTGGACTTCTTTAGCCGTTAGATCGGAAAAAACTGCACCAATCGAAATCCTAACCTATACTTCTCGAGTCCGGATATTCTAGTCCATCTATTGACTGACTGCTTAACTTGATCAGTAAGACGCCTAGTCTAGCACGAGTAACCTGGAGCACTGACCAGATGACCTTGAATCATATTGGGCTGCCAATGTGTATAAAAGAAAGCGGTGTATGGCTTGGATCTGTCAATCCGTTACGGTACTCTTGTTGTGGTCCTAGAGATCGTGCAATTCAGTGGCTTAAGATGTCATTCGGTTCAGAAAATAAGCCAGTACGAAGTCAGCTGTAATTTTTTGCTATACTCTTCATGAAAATGAGATAAACTTCCCTACTTAAGAGAATTTTTCCTACGTATTTTTAACTGAACTTTATCTTATTAAGTGCTATTCTAGTTGATTTATTGATCGACTCTACTACCCCTGCCTCTTTTAGTTCTACACAATATTAACACCTCATTTGTGTGGCCCATTTTTTCGTGCTCTTTTGCACCAAACTTTATATGCTTCGAATAAACTGTTAAAATCAAACTGAGTTATTGCTCAATAATTATGTTGACGTCCATATATTACTCTACTGACCGCGTTTACTGTGCGTGTTAAATGTAATAATCATCTCTCTAAATCTCATTAAATGAAACGTCGTTTAAACCCGTGACTCACTGGTCAAAAGTCAAAGCCATAAACCATAGTCAACTGCAGAACCAAATGTTTTTTATATATATCTAATAACATTTTTTACGTCTAACAGGACAAGAATTTACTTCAAAATTAGTTTTTAACTTTATCTAGTTCTTATTCTTTCATTCTAGTACGTGAACGAATATCCTCAGAGTCATGGAATTGTTTTAATCATGACAATCAAATAAATCCGAAACTATGTGCTTGTTTAAACTGCTCATGTAATCGGATGTGGATAGATGAGGACGAAAGAGAAAGGCGAAAAAATGCCATCGATTTTTCAGCATCTTATATTGGTCATTGCAATTCAATAACAGATATTAAAGAAGCAAATTTCTTTGGGAGGTAACTCACTAGTGCATAGTGACGATATGTCGATGGTTTTATTTTAAGAAAAAATTGGTTAATCCTTCATTACTGGTTTACATAATGCTACCAAGTATACGCATAATGCAGACGATGTTTTATGAACAAGTTGACATGAGAGTCTTCATGATTTGTCTTGAACAAATAGTTAACTGACGATAGATAATTTTAAAGGCAGTAGCGTATTTTTGAAATATCTGTTTACTGTTGAGTAGTTTTTCTGTCTAAATGATTTTGACGTGTCCCTCAATAATCATCATAAACCATTTTGGAGAACCCTGAATATATAAATATGAAGGACGTAATAGTAACCTTTTGTTTTACACATCAACATTTTTATCATAAAGTGACTGTTGTGCTCATAGAATTCTCGGTATCCACAAACAAAAACTAGAAAATCGACAACGAATATGTTGGGTACTTAGCTCAGGTCTTATTCAGCTTTTCTAATTTTATCTACTTTTCATTGATTCTTCGTTAACATTCAAACTAAATCACTAGCACCTAAACTGCTAGCCTCAATAATTATCGGGCGCCTAACTAGGACTCGTGAACTGCAAACACGAGAAAATCAGGCTGGCTTCAGACCTGGTCGTGGCTGCATCGACCACATGTTCACCATTCGTCATATTTTAGAACACAGACATGCTTATCGGCGTCCGACGATGGTGGTCTTTCTTGACTTGAAAGCAGCATTTGACTCTGTAGACCGAGAGGCTCTGTGGCAATGTCTGTCATTGAACGGAGTCCTCAGAATTGCCTAAACCTTATGAAGGCTCTTTACTCGGACAATACCATTCGAGTCAGAGATTATGGTGAGCTGTCATGTGATTTTGCAACCCCAAGTGGTGTCCGGTAAGTTTGTCCATCATCTTCATTTTTGTTCAATTTCATCACAGACCTACTGCTGGAAATAGCCTTCTCGTCGTCTGAATTTTCGGGAATCTTCCCGTTACCAGCAGGTTCACTTATCGACTTAGAATACGCATATGATATAGTCCAGGACTGGCCGACTTCAACACCTGAACTAATAATAGGGAGTGAAGTAGTCGAACGCGTCGACAACTTCACTTATCTTGGAAGTCTGATCAGCCGTAACGGGTTGGTGTCTGATGAAATCTCAGCACGAATTCAAAAAGCTCGTTTGGCTATTGCCGAGTCACGTCACCTATGGCGAAGACGAGATACCCGTCTATCAATTAAGGGATGAGTATACTGCGCAGCAGTTCGTTCTGTTTTACTTTATATTCAATTTTTTGTTTTAATATATTACTACTAATGAAGTAACTACTTCTGTTAAATTAGTGTTCATCTTGCTGTTCTAATGAAATGTGGCAACTTGGACGTATGCATATACGTGCGTGGTCCTATGTTGTAGCTGACCGACTGACTAAAGCTACATCACTGAAATAATTATGTAGACAAAATTTCATATACTCTGAATGTCTTAATAGTTCATTAGATTCAGGTAAAGTACACCCTCGTTACTTGACTGGATTCAATTAAAAGTAGAAAACTGTTAAAATTATTATTAAACATATGAAACTAGATAGATGAAACACAATATCAACGTTTGGTGTTTAATAGTTAGGGAGCAATCAACGGGAGTCCTCTACTGTACTTTAATTCACCAGCAAAGGATATATGCTATGGCATGAGACCTGATACTCCGTCAAGTATTTTACCGTACATCATTCAATGTCATTGTAGCAGATGTGACCGTTATACTATTCGAGTTATGATGTTCGTTATTTAGTCGTTGTATGTAACAACAGTTATCTATTTTCGAATTGTGTATTGATTATCTACTTAAATTACTTTGTTATTTTAGCTATGGGCAATATATTGTCGGTGGATCTGATTGTGGTGCATTTTTTATATGGGATCGTATTACAACTAATATAATGCGTATATTGAAAGCTGACAGTTCTACTGTGAACTGTGTTCAACCTCATCCGTCTATTTGTTTGTTGGCAAGTTCCGGAATTGACTCTGTCGTAAGACTATGGTCACCGAATTGTGAAGTAAGAATATTACTGATCAATTATAGTATATTTTTGTTATAGAACCTTTCCTACCTGGAGAGGCATATTTATCATCATAGAATGTTCTATGAATATCAGTTCAACAGATAAAACATGACTTTTCAAGTTGTTGTTGTAATGGGATAGTTACTGTGTATATATTTATAGTTGTTGAGAAATACAAGTAACATAAACTATGTCCTTTTACATTGTTCATCAAGAGTAGAATAAACGACACAGTACTAAATACTTTGTTGTACAGTTTTTAAGTATGAATATTGGGATTGAATGTTTTAAAGAGAGAGCTTTATTCATATGACAATTGTTGCCTCTCAATACCGCTTCTACTTGGTACTACCACTGAAGAAGATCAATATTAACAACTATTTAATACACAGATCAGTCTACGAGATTACAAACAGTGTTCAGTGTCAATTTCGGTAGGTTTAGCGTGAAAGGTACTTATACGTGACCATACTTCACGTAGGTTTTCTAGTTGGAATTTCTAACGTTTTGTAAAGTGTAGTAGATAAAGACACACGGGATGCAATCTGTTCCAGTTGTGTTCGATAATATACTTTTTGTTAGATTTTACAGTAAAATACGAAACATTTTCATAATTCTGTTTAATTTTCATAGTTAAAGTCACGAGTCAATTGAAGCTAGACCACCATGGAAAAACCTGGAAGCACTGGACGGCTGTTCCGTCCTATTATGGGACTCCTCATGATTTCAACTATGTAAATACTGAAATCTCCACAAAACCCCTTCTGTTTAATTTTATGTAACTGTTCTTATAGTGATATTGATTTGATACATTTTGGTGTCATGTTCTACATCGGTCTTGTTCATTCTTCATATTTTGTTTGTCATCAAAGTCTAAGAAAAAATTTATCAATACCATGTCCAGTTTCTACGGTGAAATAGGTAATCAAAAATTGGTCGCGTTTGTCAGTACTTTTATATTTTATCGGATTTCATAAGAGAGATTTATTTTGTGTCACATCTATCCTATAGTAGTTATACAAGTTTTTATTAATAACACTTCCTTTCTTCGTCTCTTTATTCCCAGATGTGGGTAGGAGAGACCATTTACCCTCTCGAAATACTCTCGTATAGCCATGGAATTCCAACTCACTGCGTCCTTGCAGCGCTCTTGTTATTTACGAAAGTGTAATAACAAAAAGTGAATGTCAGGCAGTTAAACTGTGTTAGTGAAATCGGCGGATCCACCTAGGGGAGTTGGAAAACCCTGATTTCAAACCAATAGTACAAACGGGATTCAGGATCCTAATAGGACGAATAGAGTATGAACCTATTCTGGTCATTAGCTAACACAGAGATGCATCTCTTAACTATACTCCACTGCCTTTTGAATTATGCCTTTTGTCCAAAGACTCGGAGACTGACTCTTTAAGAAACTACCTTCATCTATTAGGGCTCTCGTGTAGTAAAAGTCCTACTCCACTTACAAATGTGGTTATCACTAACAATGAAGAAAATAATTTACCTTCATTGGTCGTACATTTCATTCGAATTTCATTTGACTATTTTAATCGAGACTTTCTTTTTGACTACTTTTCAAGCAATTATCGAAAGTATAGATGTTAAATTATGTCATCGTTGGTGACAATAATTTGAAATTACTAAAGTGATAAACTATGGTGGTTGGACTATGTATTACTCCTCTCGAATCACAAACCACCTTGTTATCGGTATATTAACTAGAAAAGAAGAGTTGCAGAAGATTAACATTTACTTCGTTAGGGCATATCACCAATCCATTGACAGTTATAGTCAATCTACCTGGTGTGATTTATGCGCAAAATGTTTCCAGGTTTTTGGCTGAAGTTGTTGATAGAAATTAGTCACCAGTAATCAAACAGTTATCACTAAGTGGTGTGTTTTTAATCTGTATATTGTGTGATTTATCCGTAAATGATTATGTGCAAACAGTATTTATGGGAAAAATGTAGTTGAAGAAGACGTATTTAACTGTTTAAATAATACATGTGTATTTATTAATAAATTTCAGTGGACACCCTCTCTTATATATTCGCGTTGGATTTGATTAACTGAGTGGGATATTACGTTAAATCTAATTTATACATATTACAATTGGGACAGGAACTAATGGAATTTACTATGGCTTCTCCAATTAATTCCTCTGCAGTCCATTTTTATATTGAAGGTCTTACTAATCGTATTAAAAAACAGCTTCATTTTTGGTTAAAGAAATGAAATAGCTCACTCGAACAGTTATAAGTGATCATTCCTTTCTGCTATTGTCGCATTAAGTAATTAAATCGGGTTGTCAGAAATATCTAAAAATACATTCTTTTTTTAATGGAAAAGAATATTCTTCCGTTGTCGACTTTTTCAAATATTATTCACTTAGTAGTTTTATGAACTCCTTTAAAAACAAATTATCTTTGTTCTCAAAACATTGGTTGATTTTCTTAGAATTTTAATATGAAAGTTATAGGTCCATGTTTCTTCAAATTTGGTGTTTACCTGATTCAAAACAGATTTTAATGTGATTTTTCTTTTTGATTCATGTCTTTTGACTTTGAATATTTCAGACATTTTGCTCACAACGTTCTTTTCACATTAAACTACATCAAATGCAATGATTTAGTCTGCATTAACTTGTTTTATTTTGAATTAGTTGAACGTGCACTGTATTGTAGGTTCATTTCCAATCTCTAATTCATAATAGATTTTAATTCTGACGGAAAATCAACGGTGCTACGGCGTTATATAATTGAATAACCTTCTTTCAGTAGATGATTCATACCATACCTTTAAAGACGTTTATTTTGTCTTCCAATTTTTTCGAAACAAGCTACTCAAATTTCATCTTATCGTTGAGGATTATGTGTTATTTTTTTGTTGTTGTGATACTTGTTGGTCGGTTTGAGAGACAAGTATTCAGTAGGCTAATGTATTTTTTATTTAGTCAAATGATATGCATAACTTATTTGATCGTACTAATTTCACCTTCATAACTTACTACATTGAACTAATCGACATTTTTCGTCACAATCTTGTATTCTCGGTTAACACCATTCAAATAACTGTTAAAGAGAAATCTGTAGATACACTCTCATTTTTTATAATGGAACGATTGATTCGATAAAAAATTGCTGTAACTTAAGCTGTCTTCGAGTCTCAACGAAACATAATCCGAAATACAGAACCACTGAATAACTCACGGAATATGTGTCAGGAATTTAAAGCTAAATTAAATACTAGGTAAAAATTCTTTAATAAAAGATCGAATTAAAGGTCATATGATAAACACTGATAAATACTGACCTTTCACTGTAGCTTGTCAAGTCAATTATGTTCAGAGTTCAACAGCCTTTATTCTAAACTGTATATACCATTATCTTGGATATCATTGTGAATCATTATCACCAAAAAGTGAATAATATGCCAATGATCAGCTAATATTAGACGTTATACTTAGGTAATCACCATCCCAACATTTTTGAGTAGCTTCGTTTTCTAATTGCATAGTTTATTATTAACAGTAACCACGTATGTGTAAAGATAAATTGTTTTTCTTGTTCCGACTTTCCGATTGGTGAGAGTTAAGATGAATTTGACTGTAATAAAACAGATTTTTCGTCTTATTCATCTGAGAAAGAACTTCTTGTATTTATTTATTTTTGTTAAGAGGAATATTCACTGTGACTTTTTAATTTCAGGAAGACCCTGATCAATCACGAGTTGTTAGAGATCAAGTTGGAGCAGCTGAACGGAATCAACAGCGTTCTAACGCTGATCCTCTGGAAGTAATGCTGTTAAATATGGGTTATAATTTTCGTGGTCTTGATTTTGATTCTAATAGAGCTAGAAGATCGAGAAATCGCGATTCTATTGATGAACGGAATAACGAAGAAGAGAATGAATCCAGTGATGATGACAATGATGGTCATAATAATGACCGTGACATCAATTTCGAAAGGGATTCTCATTCTGCACTGCAACATTCTGGGAACGAAACCCATACTAATACCAATCATTCTGCTAGAAGTCTTGACAACACATTGCACAGTGAATCTATTCTGAATAACGTGAATTTAGTGAATGAAAACATTGAAGCAGTTGGTCAAACTGATAGTCAAAAGCGTACTGGGAATGAATCAATTGATTTGTCTTGTCAGTTAGGTTGTTCTCAAGCACCTAAGCAAAAACGAACAAAAACAGGGAATCTATCTGATGAAAAAACCCCTTTTCAACCATCAGTTGCTGCTACCATATTCGATAGTGATTTGAGTTCGTCTGATGAGTCTGATGCTACTTCGGTAGAGAAAAATACACAATGTAAACGTAATCGTTCACGTCGAATACATTCTAGTCAAAGTCGACATATACGACGTATTCGTACACGAAGAATACCAATCAGTGCTACTTTTTCTGATTCCGAAATTGTAACTACTCCATGGTTAATTGATTTTTTCCCTATTGAAGTTCATTCAATCAATTCACAGTCAACAGTAAATGAAACAACAAGTGAGCGAGAAGAGCATGGACAAGAGGAACGAAGAAATACTTATCGAGAGGATGATGATAGAGACGATGATAACAGTATATCAGAAGTCTCTTGCACGTAAGAATTTATCATTGTAATGGAGAATTATCCGGTACATTTTGACAAAACTCATTCTCCCCGTAAATGAGAATGTATATCCTCAGGCCGATAATTCAGGGTACTTTATTAATTTTTAAAATAAACGCCATCTTCTTTACCATGCTATCCATATAGGTTGCGGTTCAATAAATTATCCCCTCACTTTATGGTCTAATGTAGCTCTGTAACTAATTGCCAGTTCTTGTTATCATTTTGAATTCACAACTCTTTCCTTAACAGACTGCTGATATCACGTGGTTGTCCAGATAGAAGTACATGGAAAAGTGCTTAAATTCACAACTCCAAATCTGAGTCAGACACACTGCTAATCTCTGTTCTGGTGAATATAGATAAAAGTAGTCAATGTTTTTTTTAGAAAAATAGAATACTTATTTAATTCTTTTGGCTATATTTCTCTTTGTCTTTCCGAGCTTAGGTACATTGTTGTGGATTTTATAGTTTACCATGAAAGGCATCATGTTTTATGTAACTTTAAATGTCACTATTAATATTATTGTTACTATTATTATCATTATTACTATTATTATTATTAGCTTATCCTGAAGCAACTTAAGAAAGCTGTTTGTTAACTGTGTTTTACAACTAACAGATAGTTCAAAGTTCTTTCTAAAGTTCTATTAAACTTCTCGCTAAACGTAATGAAGTACTCCTGAGATATAAACAACTCATCCTACTGAAAGTTGTGGGTTTCTCTTAAAATAGCAATTCATAAATAAAAACTGAATTTTTTAACACTCTGATAAATTTATTACAGCATGTATTACGTCAAACTAATGATGATTAGTGGTTCAAATGTCTTATACAAAGTTAACTGTACTCATAATCATTACATTTAATAGAATAGCCATTCTGTTTTTCGTTGTGTACATGAAGGCTGTTAATTGGTTGAACTATTTACAACTCATCTAATGTTAGTGAACATAACCAAGTTGGTCATATATAGGTTCGATCTTCAAAAAATCATTGATATCTTTGGGATAAACTGGTGACATATAGAATTTAATATAATTAGGCGAATTCGATATGCGAATAGTCTATAAATAAAGAAGTTGGCTAAAAGGAATACAAAATTAAGCGACCATAACACAGTTGCGAAGAACAACACACCTATTAGTCAATAACACTATGCTACCTTGTAGTGAGAAATTAAAGCTTGATCATTTATAATGTAGGCCTTGAATCTAGTAATTAAGTTGTCTTACATTTGTATTAACAGTTAAATTTAACACATTATGAATAATTGTTTTCATTTAAATTCACCTCTTAGATTACATTTTCTAAGTAAAGTCGTTTAAGAGAAGACTAAGTGATTCTATTTCATGCTTTGTTATTTATTATCAAGACATACTATTTCAGACATTCGTATCCATATCTTTTTGCCTCATAGCTGAAGGAAGCACTATTGAAGGAATTGAGTTTCAATTAAAAGGTTCTAGGAAAGTATTTATATGGTTATTGTTGTTAAGTGCAAAAGTTAGTTTATTCATATCCCATCAGAAACGACTCGAGGAAACATATGGGAAATAAGCATACTCTACTCCTTCAGATATTTAAAATTGTTAACTAGTTGTTAACTTTACTGTAATTATCAGGTGTTATTCCTCAGTTAAGTCAGTAATAAAATAACGTTACTTCATGTCAAATTTTATTGCACTAAGTGGTTTCCGAAGCATTCCTTCTGGGTGACTTGCCACGTAGCTCCCCAATTTTATGGAACTTTAGTCTACTTGACAAAATTACTGGGTACGGGTAAGGTTAATCAAAACGATAGTTGCACCCATAAGATTATTTACAGAATCCTAATTGCATTTGTTTCGTTGTAACATCCCACAGGAGTTAAGGAGTATGGCTTTGGTCGAGCAAATTACATAATGATTTAGAATATAGCATACTAGACAGTCACTCGTTTGTGGTATATCAACTTATACCAGTTTATATTCAGACTGGTGAAACTCTTAAAATAGCTAATTATGAAAACTCTCCGTTTTCTTCTCATTCATTGTAAAGGTCTTGCTAGTTGACTTAAACAGATAAACTTAAACGGTTGAGATGTTTGTTCGAAACTTCTTTATATTCAGATTAAACCATTGGACTTTAATATCATTATTTATTTTCTCATGTGATTTGTGTAATCTTACTTGATTAGTGAATTGCATCATTTATCTGTAGGAATTGAATTTTATCCACAAAATACATTGTTTATAAATTGCATAACTTATATATATGAAAACGTAAATACTAATTTCTATTTATTGTCTATCTGTTCAGTGTCAGTTGAATAAAGTTCCCTCTCCCCCACATCCATCTTCATCCACGACGTATTCCAAAATCCAATTGTTAAAAGAAAACAATATATTGTGTTTTACTTGGATACTTTGATGATAATTCCACTAACTTAAATCATTATTACCTAACTTTTCTACATTTTCTGTGTTTCTGATCTCTATTGCTTTCTATTATTGTTCTCTTTTTTTGTTCATTGTGTCCACTCATAGAGTCTTTTATTAAATTTGATATAGTCGAATCACGATTCGTCTGTTCAGTGAGAATCGTATGACATGGTTGTTAACTTAATTAATTGTAAATGTGTACTTGTTTGTTTTAGTAACTGAAATTAACTGTACACTACCACTTCTTATTTCACTTAATTTACATTAAAAACAAACTGTTGTTCAGTTTTTTAAGTGTAAGAAATACTTGTAAGGTGATGATATCAACAAACCTATTACTTTGTGGAATTTGTTTGTTTGTTAATATAAATATGAATGCTAGTACCACTGTAGTGAACACAAACACCAGTGGGAACAATCGAATGTATTTCAACTCAGAATTACAGAGCGTCTTAGTAAAAGCTGAGAATCATGCAGTAAATATTTAATTTGCAAAATATCAATCAATTATCTCAAACTTGACTGTTCCTTTTGCAAATATCACTCAATCGTCTCAGATTTCACTGTTCCTTCATTTTCATGCCAATTGCTTTCCGTTTCCGTTCTTCCCTTCTCGATCTTCCACTGAAATACATTCTATTCCTGACTATCGTTGTATACTACTTGTACGGATATAAGTAGCCCACTGAGTAATGTATCAAAACACGCAATTGTTTCGACCTTACAAGAAAATCTGAAAGTAATTTAGCACGAATTCTAAGCTACTTTAAATCTTAGTGATTGACTTGATGAATACTAGGATGAAATTGGATTTTAGGGCAACGATGATGGTAATGAGATGATCTATTTTTCGGTTTGTTAATTTGTCAATTGATATTTTGTCTATCACTTCGTCATCAAGTGGAGTAAATATAGTTTTATAAAATGAACTAAATAATTAACTACTTGTCAATTTATCTCATGTGATGAAATCACCAATGAAAATATATTTGTTTTAAAATATAGAAAAGATCATTCGTCATTCTACGCATTAATTTTTGTGAGACGTACGCTACGTGATAATTGTAATCGCTCCGTAACACTGGACCGAATTTTTGGCAACTATCTCAGATTTAACATTGGATCATTAGCAGGTACACCTTATGACACCGCTATCTGAACTACTATAGCAGCAATTGACTCTCCTCCGAAAGGATTATTGTTTCTATTCAAGTAAAAATTTTGACCATTAAGTAATACACTTAACTACCAAATAGACTATACTACAAATATATTGTGATTTACAGTGTAGTACGTTTCCCGACCTTTGCTGCTACCTTGACGTGGTGGTCGGGCTTTCCTATCGTGATGAAGCAATCGAGCTATACTGGCTTGAAAAATCGTTCCTCTAGGTCCGACCATGCCAGGCAGGTCGGTCGAAGGGCGGTAAAACTAGAAGCAGCAAACCCAAGGTCCAAAGGCAACGTCGTACTACTGACTGTATAGAGGTGTGACGGCAGTACGATGTTTCTCTCAGACAACCAGCATGACAGCGATGCTGCCTTCTCACAAGGAGGGGTGGGGTTAGAAAAGGTCGACCCTGAATGCGTACACCTCACCTTATCCCACGGATATCCGTCTCCGACGGTAAGGTCTCAACAAGTACGGAGCCAACAAGAAAATTACCCACAAAACGGTCATGTGTGACCAACCTCAAGCAGGTGTCTCTTGAGCACTGCGGTCAGGCTCTCAGGTCACTAAGACCACTTCTAATCGAATTTCCTTTACAGGTACCTCTAGAAGAACTCTTCCACTGTGTGGGCAGACGGGAAGTGATAACTACCCTCATACCTCTAACAGCACTCAAGATCACTGTATTCATAAACAATCTCCCTCTTTAATTCATATTATTCCTCCTACCTCGGCTTTCAACACTAAACTTCCTCTTTCGGTTTCCTCCTCAAGTGCCAACGATTCTAGTGCGCAAAAGACTGACCCAGGTCTACTGAAATCTCGCTACAAACCACACATTGGAGAGCCTTCGAAATACGTACCCTGTGTCAAATTGGTCAACAGGCCTCCTTGGCTAAGACCCTAGAATCTCATACCAATGATCTATTGTATTTCTTCGAAATACGCATACAAGATCCTAGTGTGGTCATTCAATCGACCACACCTCGTCAAAACGGAGAACCGACGAGATACACCCTCCGTGTATCTGGCAACCCGATAATTAGTTCTCGTGGACTTGCAGGTGTAGGCATAGCACTTAGTACGAGGGTAGAACAAGCACTATTAGAGTGGATTTCATTAGCAGTCGCCTATGTCCTGTCCGGCTAAATGGCGCCGTAATAACTCGAAATTATAGGGACACACATCGTTGCCTTTTCGTCGTTTCTGTCTACGTTCCCACTGACTGCAATCCGGATGAAGTAAAAGATGATTTTTACAGAAAGCTCTCTGAACTTCTTTATAAAACTAAACACTCAGAAATAATACTCGTAGCAGGTGACTGTAATGTCCAATTAGGTGGCTTAAGCCAAACAGAAAGACATTTATGTGGGTATTTTGGTATTCCGGCTTAGCGAACAGATAATGGTGATCGTCTGTTGCAACTATGCTCAGACAATCGTTTATTCTTAGCAAACACTAATTTTAAGCATAAGGAGAGACATCGTCTAACATGGCGACCACCTGCACCAAACCAACGATGGACTCAAATAGACCATATTGCCATCAGTTATCGTTGGAGAGGCTCGATAGAAGATTGTCGCTCGTATTGGAATACATATTTAGACTCTGGTCACGCTTTAATACGAGCACGCATTTGTTTGCGCCTCACTTGCTTCAGAAAAACTACACTAAAAAACCCCGTTAGGATTGAACCAGAGGACGAGAAAGCCAAAAGTAATTTCCAGGAATAACTGATTTCACATGTAGGCGGTACTGTAAACGAGATTGGCCCAGATATTGATTGGAAATATATACGAACAGCTGTGGAAACAGCATTAACATCTATTAGTAATTTAAAGCAAAGGGTTCCAAAAAATCAATGGGTTTCTTCTAAGTCTATTGCAATTGTGGGTTCTCGTACGCTCATTCCATCGGACTCAGAACACGATGAAGAGCGAAAACAAATCAGATCTAGGATAACCAAAAGTCTAAGGAACGATCGTGAGCAGTGGTGGGCAACGATATCAAAAGACATGGAAAACGCAGTGATTGTAGGTAACATCAGACTAATAAAAGAAACCGGAATTAAGAAGTCAAGTGTGAGACAATCACCAAAAAAGACGAAACTCTTATCTACTCTCAGCTCAGACGTATAAAACAATGAGCGGAACACTTAGGAGAGCAGTTCAGTTGGCTTTCAGCTAATTTACAACTACCCTCACTCCTAAACAACCTAAATGGAACACTGAAGTAGGTCCCCTGACTCTAGCTGGAGTTCAAACGCTATAGCTAATCTGAAACGACGAAGAGCAGCTGATCCAGATGTCTTTGAGGATGGGGGTCCAGTTTCGGCGATTATGTTGACTAATATTTAAGCTAAAATGTGGAAGTTGGAGGTAATCCCATCTGACTGGTTGCAATCACTGGTCGTCCCAATATCTAAGAAGGGGTCAGAATCATCCTGTGATAATCATAGGCGGATTAGTTTGAGCAATATATCATCAAAACTGCTAGCCTCAATAATTATCGGGCGCCTAACTAGGACTCGTGAACTGCAAACACGAGAAAATCAGGCTGGCTTCAGACCTGGTCGTGGCTGCATCGACCACATGTTCACCATTCGTCATATTTTAGAACACAGACATGCTTATCGGCGTCCGACGATGGTGGTCTTTCTTGACTTGAAAGCAGCATTTGACTCTGTAGACCGAGAGGCTCTGTGGCAATGTCTGTCATTGAACGGAGTCCTCAGAATTGCCTAAACCTTATGAAGGCTCTTTACTCGGACAATACCATTCGAGTCAGAGATTATGGTGAGCTGTCATGTGATTTTGCAACCCCAAGTGGTGTCCGGTAAGTTTGTCCATCATCTTCATTTTTGTTCAATTTCATCACAGACCTACTGCTGGAAATAGCCTTCTCGTCGTCTGAATTTTCGGGAATCTTCCCGTTACCAGCAGGTTCACTTATCGACTTAGAATACGCATATGATATAGTCCAGGACTGGCCGACTTCAACACCTGAACTAATAATAGGGAGTGAAGTAGTCGAACGCGTCGACAACTTCACTTATCTTGGAAGTCTGATCAGCCGTAACGGGTTGGTGTCTGATGAAATCTCAGCACGAATTCAAAAAGCTCGTTTGGCTATTGCCGAGTCACGTCACCTATGGCGAAGACGAGATACCCGTCTATCAATTAAGGGATGAGTATACTGCGCAGCAGTTCGTTCTGTTTTACTTTATATTCAATTTTTTGTTTTAATATATTACTACTAATGAAGTAACTACTTCTGTTAAATTAGTGTTCATCTTGCTGTTCTAATGAAATGTGGCAACTTGGACGTATGCATATACGTGCGTGGTCCTATGTTGTAGCTGACCGACTGACTAAAGCTACATCACTGAAATAATTATGTAGACAAAATTTCATATACTCTGAATGTCTTAATAGTTCATTAGATTCAGGTAAAGTACACCCTCGTTACTTGACTGGATTCAATTAAAAGTAGAAAACTGTTAAAATTATTATTAAACATATGAAACTAGATAGATGAAACACAATATCAACGTTTGGTGTTTAATAGTTAGGGAGCAATCAACGGGAGTCCTCTACTGTACTTTAATTCACCAGCAAAGGATATATGCTATGGCATGAGACCTGATACTCCGTCAAGTATTTTACCGTACATCATTCAGTGTCATTGTAGCAGATGTGACCGTTATACTATTCGAGTTATGATGTTCGTTATTTAGTCGTTGTATGTAACAACAGTTATCTATTTTCGAATTGTGTATTGATTATCTACTTAAATTACTTTGTTATTTTAGCTATGGTCCTCAGAAGTGACTAAACCTTATGAAGGCTCTTTACTCGGACAATACCAGTCGAGTCAGAGATTATGGTGAGCTGTCATGTGATTTTGCAACCTCAAGTGTTGTCCGGTAAGTTTGACCACTAATTTCAGAAGCACAACACTACTATCAGTACTAGGAAACGTTTTCAACAGAGTGTTGCTGAACCGGATGAAAGACGCACAGACCAAATCGCGACACTACGGATCACTGTTGAACAATCCATTGGACGGAACTCACCACTATACAAAAACTTTCTTGACTATGAGAAAGCATTTGATAGCATGGATAGGAGAACCTTATGGATTCTTTTACGACACAATGATTTTTATCTAAGACTT